ACAGCTGGGTAGCTACTCTCAGCTCTGTTCTCAGGAGCCCAACATTACTTCTCCAGTCCACTCCAGCTAGTTCAGCTCTTCTGAAATAAAAATATCTGAAAGTTCTGATATTGCTAAGGAGATCTTGCGTCCTTCACGGAACACAACTGTCATGAATGCTTATCGCAGGCAATCCCAAGGGGCAAAACTGTCCAATGTATAATGTTAAAGTACATGATGCTACATCATCTCCATAATAGATGCAAATCTGAAAAGAGTCTTGAATAAATCTACTCAAGGAGCACCTTGTCGTCTCCATAAAAGCAAAGACCCCAAAAAGGTCATACATAAAAAGCTGTTTTAAAAGTATATCTCAAACAATCTCCCCAATTTGGCATCTGCCAGATAACGCTTCCTAAAGTCCAGGGGTCAGCAACCCGTGGCTCTGGAGCCGCATGTGGTTCTTTCATCCCTCTGCTGCAGCTCCCTGTTGCCGGTTGGTGCCACAATTTTGAGAGAAGCTTCTGGTTGGGGGTGGGGCGAATGCATGGAGTGCCAGGAAGAGTCTCTATGGCAAGGGGTGGGTTTTCCCGTTGGCTCCACAATTGATGGTGCTTTCGGTTAGGACAGGTAGAGGAAAAAGGACACTGCTAGGAGGAGACTCTATGGTGGGGAAACCAGACTTCCAGTCGGCAGATGAAAAAAGGCACTGTGCTAGGAGGAGACTCTATGGTGGGGGAACTGGACTTCCAGTTGGCAGATGAAAAAGGACACTCCTAGGAGGAGACTCTATGGTGGGGGAACTGAACTTCCAGCCGGCTCCAGAATTGAATGGAGGGGCTTTTGGTTAGGACCTTTGTGGGTCTTTGAGTTTTTAAGGTTGCCGACCATTGCTATAGTCCTAATATATCTGGAAGACACTTGGGGGGAAAAGCTGAAGTAAAACTTTGGTCAAAAGTTGAAGGGCGTCAACATGACTCCTACCTAAACCAAATCAAGGCTTTGGGGCCTCTTTTCTTTTCATTAACCTTTTCCAGTTACAGTCAGCAGAATACAGTGCATCAGGTTCTTAGAGGTTATCTTACTTGAGGAGAAAAAAAGCTTATCAAGGGAAACAAAAAAAAAAGATGTCAGAACTCAAAGAGTTGGTCATCTTTTTCAGTCTCCATTGTGGAATCTACTTTGTCCCAGTCAACCGGTGAGAGGATTTGAGCACTTTGGATGTCTTGAGATGTCAGGCTGATGTCAAGGACTTGTGGGTTGGTTCGGGACTGTGCCAGCCTGGAATGACAAGGCAAGACAAAAAGGTGAAGAAAGGAAGATGTTAGTGCTGGCAAGGAAGAGGAGAAGGAAGATACAGCTTCCAGGTACAGGTAGGGTATACTTTAGAACAGGGGTCTCCAACCTTGGCAACTTTAAGCCTGGCGGACTTCAACTCCCAGAATTCCCCAGACAGCTTTGCTTGGAGTTGAAGTCCACCAGACTTAAAGTTGCCAAGGTTGGAGATCCCTGCAAAACTGGCTGAGGAATTCTGGGAGTTGAAGTTCACCAGGCTTTAGAAAGCTCCCTCACAGAAATATAGAATTAAATTCCAAGAAAGGGGGAAAAAAGTAGCTCGCTAGGAAAGATGGCCCAAGATGGTTTGGCTGAAAAAATTTGGTTCTTCTATGGGCAGGGCAATCTTTAGTAAAAGGGGAAAGACTTTTACAATATGAAAAGAAACCAGAGAATGTCTATGACCAGGATTCATTTCTCCGACATGAACAGTTCTCAGAGTTTGAATTCAGTTCACCCAAAAGTATTCTAGGGAAATCTGGATTCTGTTTTAAAAAAATTGCCAGGGAAAAAAATGCATCAGGCAAATTGTGAATTAAAATACTTGTTTGATGCTCATCCCAACAGGCTTCGCGATTTTAATATATTAAAAAAAAAATCTGAAGTCCAATGTGCCAAGCTTAACAGTTTTTCCAAAGTATCAAAATGAGAAACAATGATGCTGAAATTATCCCCAAAACGAGATCTTGAGTAAAACGGATCAATCCATTCATGCCCACTTAGTCCTTTTGAAAACCCTCATTGTGCCTCTGTGCTACGTCTGGCCAGCAGAGGGAGCAGTTGGTCCAAAGCCACCACCACATGACCTCATGAGAAACAAGGGTGTGTTCCTTATGTGTTAATAATGTCATGTGGGAGGATCTGTGAGAGCATCTTCCCTGCCCTGAAGGACGATCCTCAAGGGAAACTTTCCTGCAAGCCCATGAAGAAATAAGGGCAAGTCTTGAAAAGCCTTTTAATAGTTTCTCAGCCTAGTAGACCTGGGAAAGACACAACACTGAAGGCATCTGCCTATACCATCCAACACTCTGCATGGCTTGTGGAAAATAAATGCCAGAAGATGAGAAGGAACTACTCAGGCCACAAAATACTATGTAAAGGTAAAGGTTCCCACACACATGCATGCTAGTTGTTCCTGACTCTAGGGGGCGGTGTTCATCTCTGTTTCAAAGCCGAAGAGCCAGAGCTGCCCGAAGATGTCTCCATGGTCATGTGGCCAGCAATGCCAAAGGCACATGGAATGCTGTTACATTCCCACTAAAGGTGGTTCCTATTTTTCTACTTGCATTTTTTTAATGTGCTTTCGAACTGCTAGGTTGGCAGAAGCTGGGACAAGTAACGGGAGCTCACTCCGTTAGGTGGCACTAGGGATTCGAACTGCCGAACTGCCGACCTTTCTGATCATCAAGCTCAGCATCTTAGCCACTGAGCCACCGCGTCACTTCAAAATACTATAGGCAGGAAGATGTGTGATATTACAGGGTGGAGTACCAGGAAAATAACACCACCCGTGTCTATTTAAGCCAGGGGTGTCCAAGCTGGGCAGCTTTAAGAGCGGTGGATTTCAACTCCCAGAATTCTCCATAATTATAACCAGCTCTTGATTATAGTAAAGAGCCAGGTGTCATCTGCTTGGAAGCGCCTGATTAAAAAGCATGATTCAGGAAGCTGAAAAGATTACATTTCCTCGGTTAAGAAGCTTTTCCTTTGACCCAGAAGGAAAGCAAGCTTTTGGCTAGGAAGCAGATGGCGGTGATGTGTCACAGTTGCAACTGATACACGTATTATAATTTGGGGTTAATCGGGCGCCCCTAATAAGTAGTTCAATTCAAGTATGTGTGTCTGTTTAAATCAGGAGTGGCAAGAAAGATAATAAAACAGGGGGAAATTCATTTATCTGTCTTGCTTAGCAATGGAAATTTTGGACTCACTTGTGATCGTAAATCAAGGACTACCTGTACAACTTTTGTCTGCAAGCTAAGGTGAAACCCATTAAGCAGTCGAATAGCTTCCTGTACTTGTGGCAGTTTAAACCTGCTGCTGCCAGCTGAAGAATTCTGGGAGTTGAAGTCCACCTGTCTAAAAGTTGCTAAAGTTGAGGAACACTGAAGGTAAAGGTTCCCCTCGCACATATGTGCTATGTCTAAAGGGAGGTGCTCATCTCTGTTTCAAAGCCGAAGAGCCAGCACTGTCTGATGACAATTCCATGGTCATGTGGCTGGCATGACTGAATGCCCAAGGCACATGGAATGCTGTTACCTTCCTACCAAAGGTGGTTCCTATTTTTCTACTTACATTTTACATGCTTTCGAACTGCTAGGTTGGCAAAAGCTGGAACAAGCAACGGGAGCTCACTCTGTTACACAGTGCTAGGGATTCAAACCACCAAACTTTCTGATAAAAAAAACTCAGCATCTTAGCCACTGAGCCACCGTATCCCCTTGACCTATACTACATACCCATTAAATATATTGCATGCACTTTCTTGCGTGTGCATATGTAACACCATAAGTCAGGGTACTCAAATGGCTTTGTGGGCAAGGAAGCCTTTGTTGAGTGATCACGTCCATCACCTAGACAGAATCTCAAAATTCCTGAGTTGACTTGTACTCAGCTTGACAGTTGCCAAAGTTTGAGGGACAGTAGCTGATTAGGGATGTCCATAAAAGTCACTGTTATTTATGGAATCTTTTCTCGTTGCATTTTCACAGGTCAGAAAGCAGAGTTGGACCTGTGAAGTTTTCCACCTTAGGTGCCAAAACAGTTTGCTTGGCTCTAGGGGCTGTGAACTTTGATGAGGCAAGGCGGATACGTGAACTGGCAGAAGAATTA